TCCTCTGCTTCCCCCTCACAGCACCTGTTACTACCTAACAAGCATATATTTTACATATTGATTACAGCTGTTCCACTCCCACTACAACATCAGCTCTACAAGGGTAGGGATTTCTGTCTGTTTCACTCACTGCTGTCTCCAGCACCCAGGTCAGTGCTAAGCACTCAGTAGGCACTCAGTAAATATTTGTGGAATGAATGAATGCGATTTGATTTTTTGTATATTCTCCTTCCCAGTCTCCTTGTCTACAAGATCCCGTTCACTTGTGGGGCAACTAGGACCTACAGCAAAATAATGAGTCCTCTAACCTCTTCCAGCCCAGGTTTCCTTATCTCCAAAATCAAAGGGTTGGATTAGATTTTTTATAGTCCTTCCAGCTCTGAAAATCTGCAGCTGACAAAAGAAAAAAATATGTAATTCTTTATTACGCCAAGTCTGTAACTATATTTACTTGATTATACAAACTGCCCTTCCTTCAGAATTTTCCAAAGTTAAATCCCCACAGCGCCACCCACCCCACCCCCACCCCTTCACCCCCACCCCCGCCGACCCGACCCTTAGAATAAGTGGGGTTTGGCTGGAGTTCTGCTACGTGAGTTGTAACCTGCACACCAGGTCGAAATTAACCTCAAGTGCTGGGATCACTGGTCTTGTAAAATCGACCCAGGCTGGGTTACAGGGAAGTAAACCAAACCACATTCAGTTGTTTCTTAAGATCAGAAACACCACCTCTCCTTGTCCCCCTCAATTTAACACTAATTCCTTAGCAGCCCGTGCTGTTGATTTTGGGGTTTAGCCAGAGGCCCTCTGGAGAAATAGCATTATGTGTTCCAGGCCAAGAGGAAGGCGCTGGGATGAAAGCGGACCCTGGCGTGGTAGCAGACTGTGCCATAGCAGAGCTGGGGGTGAGGGCCCATGTTAGAGGGCTGGGGGTCCTTCAAGGTCATTCCACCCAGAGCCGGCTAGCCTAATTCTGACTTTGGGGAACCTTAGCACCTTCATTTCTCCATCTGAAGCAGGGATCACATGAGCTCTGATGTTCTACAAAGTGTCCACCCATCTAAATCCCGCCTGGCCATGGTCAGGTCACCAGTGGTGTCAGCTAAGGCCACCACACCGACAATGTTCTCTCTCTCTTTTTTTTGAGACAGAGTCTCACTCTTGCCCAGGCTGGAATGCAGTGGCATGATCTCGGCTCACTGCAACCTCCACCTCCTGGGTTCAAGTGATTCTTCTGCCTCAGTCTCCTGAGTAGCAAGGATTACAGGCACACACCACCATGCCCGGCTAATTTTTGTATTTGTTTTTAGTTGAGATGGGATTTCGCCACGTTGGCCAGGCTGGTCTTGAACTCCTGACCTCTCAAGTGATCTACCCGCCTCGACCTCCCAAAGTGCTGGGATTACAGGTGTGAGCCACTGCGCCCAGCCCAACAATGTTCTCTTGACGTTTAACATATAATTCACTTCTCAGACTGAACATCAAGCCACTATATAAGTAACAGTGTGTTCGTCTTTCAAAGGATTAGTTTCCATCACAGAATCAATATAAACTCGCCTGGGAGTCCTCCAGAGTCCTGCCTTCTTGATAGTCCCCCAGCCTACAGCACAGTCCCCAGCCCCAAGCAGGCTCCCGTAACACGCGTTAACTGATCCCTTCCCACCGAGAAGCAGGAGGGCGTGAGGGGTAAGTTCACGTGTCACAGAAGACTCAGGTAGTCATCCTGGCTCTACTGCCTACCTCCACCTAGGCAGCCTTGGGCCTATAAACCTCTGTGCCTCAGCTTCCTTGTCTGTAAAGTGGGAATGGTAAGAGTACCTCTCTCATGAGATTGTTATAAAGATTACATAGAACTAAATGAAGGCTGGGCATGGTGGCTCACATCTGTAATCCCAGCACTTTGGGAGGCTGAGATGGGTAGATCGCTTGAGCTCAGGAGTATTAGACTAGCCTGGGTAACATGGTGAAATCCCAGCTCTACAAAAGAAATGCCAAAATTAGCCAGGGGTGGTGCTGTCTGCCTGTAGTCCCAGCTACTTGGGAGGCTGAGATAGAAGGATTGCTTGAGCCCAAGAGGTACAAGATGCAGTGAGCAGAGACTGCACCACTGCACTGCAGCCTGAACAACAGAATGAGACCCTGTCTCAAAAAAAAGAAAAATTAATAAATTAATACACATCAATCACTTAGCTCAGAGCCTGACAAGGAACTGTTGACCAAATGGTAGTCATTGCTATTAGAACGTCTTGTTTTACACCTTAAGCCATACACGATCCCAGGTTTGGGTGGCCCTTCCTGGTATAATTCTGGTGCCACAGTAGGAACATGGGCTCAGTTACTGAGTATGTGTGATGGAAAGCCTAGACAGCAGGGAGAGCAAATCCATGTCTCACTTGCTACTCTCCCCTTCCTCTGACTGGGCAGGCATCTCTAATCAATCTCAGCATTCTTCCACTGACTATAGCCTTCGGGAAGAATCCTCGATTCAGACCTTCAGGCAACCACCATGGGAAAACCCGCCTTTTCTTCTCTGGTTACAATCACCAGGCAGAGATGATCGTGTAAGAGAGATTCATGCATTAGAAAGTGAGGGCAGACCACAATCCCACCAGACTGACAAGGGGTGGGTGGTGCTTTGTCTCTTCATTCACCCAGTGCTTTGAATAGTGCCTGCCATGCAGGAAACACTCGAACGTCTACTCATGTGGATAAATCAGCATCTAACCCATCTGCGTTCACAGCATATGGCACTACCAGAGCAGGTGCTTAGTGAAAGTGGGAGGGACATGGGAGAGGCTGTCTAGATCCTCACTTGGGCACCACACTGAGGAATGGAGAAGGCACCAGCTTTGACAGGGTCAAGGCCCACACGGCCACTGGCTCATCATATGCCCCTGAGCGGGGCCCTTCCTCCCAAAGGCCTCAATCTCCCCTCTGCACAATGAGACGGTGGTCTAGACCAACTCAAGGCCCCTTCCAGTCCTGACATACTGATCCAAGAAACACTTCCAGGCACTAGTATGAGGACTGTCATGGCCCCACAGGCCACAGCCTCATACAGCGTTCACACACAAATCCCACTCCCAGGGGCCCAGGAGAGAAACACAAAATGCTGGGCAGCTGCTGGCTACATGCGCCACCCCCCATGACCACAGGCCCAAGTGCACCGTCTCTGTCTACCTGCTCCTCTCCACACTCCCTGTCCCTATGTCACTCCCATGTCTTCTTCCATCTCATCCAGTGTCCCCATCCCATAAACACATACTGAGAGCCTGCTAGGGACCAGGCCATGGCAGTGAATAAGACAGACGTGTTCCCTGCCTATGGAGCTGGCACTCTCAGAGAGACAGAAAAAAATGAACACAGGGAAGGGAATGAAATCGCGAATAATGAAAACGAAATAATTCAAGAGCTATGAAAGCCACACACCACAGACTGGGGCGCAGGTCCCTTGATACAGGGGGTCAGGGAAAGCTTCCCTGAGGGTAGAACTGACTCCGATCAGAAAGAGGAAAGGGCACTCATCAGAGAAAGAACATTCCAGGCGCAGGGAACAGCAGTTGCAGAGGCTCTCAGGCAGGACTCAGTGTAGACTGGGGGTTGACAAACTGTAGCCATTTATGGGCATATTTATGTATCGCCACGGCTACTTCAGCATTATACTGGCAGAGCTGAGAAACTGCCACAGAGATCAGACAGCCTGCAAAGCATAAAATAGCTGTCACAACACAGGTCTCCAGATTCCATGGACCTCTAGCCTGGTATCATGGCCTCTGTTCCACTAGTCTCCAATCCACCCAACAAATGGATGCCAGGGTGGTATTCCTGAAACACCAAGCCCAGTACATTACTCTCCTGCTCAGAGAATGTCAATATCTCTCCATGGTTTCTCAAAGTACGTTCCAAGGAATACTTGCTCAATGCAATGAACTTCAATAAAAGGATCCCATGGTTAAGAAGTCTGAGAAACATGATTCTCTCTCTCTGTCTCTCTCTCTGTCTCTTCTCAAGCACGCATATTACCATATTTAAAAATCTGGAAAGTCCCACAGCAAATAAACCTTTTTCATTTTGTTTAACCCACCATCCTCTGAACTTATCTGGCTACAGAAAGAACCCTTTTTTTCTCACAAACAAACTCCATGAACATTTTAAAGAGCTAGTGTTCCGTAGGCTCTCGGGCAAATTCTTCTGCTTGGCATTCACAGTCTCACCCTCAGCTCTAACAGGTGACCCTAGACTTTATGTATGTGCTCTGGGGAGCTGTCTCTCATCTGTCCCTTACCTTCTTTCTGCCTTCAATGCCCCAAATAAAGGTCATGTGGCCATTCCAGCCTTGCTCTACCCAACAGAACAGCAGCAACAGCAGCTGCAGCATGGGTGCTGACATCACCAAGTACCTACCTGTGCTACCTCTCATAATGTAAACAGCTTGGACCTATCTGGTATCGTTTTCTCCCTTCTTTGGTAAAAATAGTCCAGTTCTCCTTTGGGAACCACCCCTCTGCCCTCTCTAGCTATCCTTGAGGGTGAGGACAGACCCTCCCACCCCCAACTAGTCAGAGTATCCCATCCCCTGCTTTGGCGTGACTGGTTCAGAGACATGAGCACATGACACTTGCACATAGGCCAATGAATTCCAGACGAGGAGGGACTGGCTGCCCAGGAGTTCGCCATGCAGCAGCCCGGCTGTGATTCCAGCCCAGGTCTTTCTGCTTAGTCTTATGCTTCATTCTTAAGTTCTCAACTTGAGCAGCCAATGGCCGGTTCAGGAATGAACCATCCTTGGATTCTGGTTCCAGGTACCCACATGGAAAATGCTTTCCATGACCTCACATTCTCTGGGGGAGTCTGGATACTTTTAACGAAGGAGGGCTAGCCTGGACTATCCATCCTTTCGGGGGGTAGGTAAGGACCAGAGAGTGGCAGCTGTTAGTCATGAAGATCTGAGTGGAGGGGTGGACACGCAGGGCGGGGTGGGGGGGAGACAGGGAGTGTACCTGCTCGCAGTGCTTTTCCTTCCAGCTGCACTGGCTCCGTCAGCCTGCAAAAGAAACCCAAAACACTTACATCAGCCAAGGTGGAAGACACAGAATCAACCCACTGCCACCCTACCAAGCTCCCACTGAATACCAGAAGTGGGATGAGCTGGCCATAAGCCCCACTCCACTCCTCCAGGCTGGAAAAACTTGCACCTAGTGGTAAGAGGGAGTCAGGACACATCCCCACAACCCCATTTGCTTGGCCCTTTAAACCCCACTGAGCACCCACTGCCAACACAAACTCAGCAACTGCTCAGCCCTGGGGACTCAGTGAAAAGTAAGTAACCAGCTAAATCTGAGATTGAATTGCACCATTTTTATTTTCAGCTGGGATTTCCAATAAAACAGCAGCTGTAGATTTATTCCTACCAACCAGAGGAAAAAAATCCTATTATGTTAAAGTATTCTTTCCCCCAACCCTATGAGCATGAGAAGGCAAGAGAGTGCCGGTTCTTAATCTCTTTTACTTGGGTGTAGGGGGAGGGGGAGATAAAGCTGACCAAATGAAATTTTCGGAAATCATAAAATTCTGGTTCAGATGCAGAGACTGAGGCCTTGAGTGCAGATGGACGCGCCTGAAGCCTCATGAAAACAAACACTGGGGGGGTCCCGACTCCTAGACCAGTGCTCAGGGGGACCTCAATGGAGAGGCTGATGGAGGTTGCAGACCTGGGAACAACGCCTAGATTCTCCACCACCGCCAGCTAAAGATGTATTTCCGAGCTTTGCCAAAACACCTCTAATAAGAATCACAGGATAATACAGGTCTGAAATTCAGGTGCATATGTGTTTCCAAATTCAGAATTTTTCCAATTTTAGAAAGGGAATGTACTGCCTATGTTTTATAATTTGGAAACAACCCTGGCAGAGCCCCTGCTAATCAAGCACATTGATATTTCTGTTGTAAAGCATATGCATAGGTAACCCTACAAAGCATAAATGCCAACAAGACAACAATCACGACCGTAGCCTTTTCTCCCTTCGGGTCAAGTTCTGCTGCCTCATCAGTTACAAAAACTTTTTCAAGTTTTTTTGAATTTCAAGATTGCAGATGAAGGACCGAGGATCTAACATAAAACACCAGTAGCTACCTTTTGATGAGTGCTTACAAGAAGTTGCAAACTGGCAAAATCAGATGGCAGACTTCGATTCAAACAAATTGGCAATATATAAAAATAAAAGAATTGCACTGAAAAAAGGCCAGATCTCCACCTTCTCTTATTAAACTGGATAACCCTGTGATACCCAGTCCTACATGGCGACAGGCAGCTAGAGCTGACATACTTGCTTTTCCACAGTCTCTACCGAGCCTCCCCCTTACCTTATAATAACCCAGCCCCTGTCTGGTCCCAGGGGGCATCCACACTAGCTCCCCATGGAGAACTTCCCATTAGGCGCTAGGATATGGACATTCATGCCTTCTCTCGTTTAATCTTCACCATAGGTCCTCCCTTCCACCCTATAATATCCCCATTTTACAGGCAGGAACACAGAAGGTGAAAGAATTTAAGTTATGTATCAAAAGTCCCACAGCTATAAGCTCAGGTCTGGGTCACCCCAAAGTCCACCTTCCTCAGTTCTGGAACATTTTACTTCCCACCAACATTCAGGAGAGCCAACTGGGAAATGGGGTGACGTCAAACAGCCCCTATTTCCCACACAAGGGAAAGGGAAAGGTTAAGGACTAATAGGGAAGGAGAAATGTGAGGTCTGGAAGGGAGAAATTAATGAGCTGCCAATGCATTATTTCAATGGAAGAAACAAGAAAGCAGAAAACGGTTTGCATATCATTTCCCTGGGAGCAGAAGAACAGATCAATTACAGCCTCTTTCCGACATCTTGCATTCCTCAAAACTTGTATGTGAAGCAAACAGGCTGAGTTGTTTTAATGTTTGTATCATAAGCAGCAGAAGTGGTATGGGTGGAAATTCTGCCCCAGAGAGCTTAAGAAATTGGTCAACTCCCAAATGGATCTCTTGCCTTTCAGACTTAATTCTGTGGGTGTATTTTTGCATTTCACACACACTTTTAAAGTTGTCATTTTTGTCCTTTTCCTTCACAATTTCACACAGAGTTGACCAGCTCAAGGGCAACAGAACACACGACAGAGTGTGGGAAGAGTCTCTGTTTTCGGCACGCCTAATAACCTCCACCTTTGTTTCTCTTTTATTGGGTGAATGACACTTCAGCTTCGTGTTACTGGTAGCTGCACGCATTTCTGTTTTCCACCCATTTATATAAAACAAAGAGAAAGTACCAAAAATATTCAAAGAGTTGTCAAATACTTTTACAGAGACTCAGGTGGTGGTGCTGGGGCAACTAGAGGAAGGAGTTCTACCTGGGCAGGGTGTGGGATATTCAGATGGTGGCGGATGAGAGTTGCTTCATTGGGATATGGATGGACAATGGATTCAGTGGGAGACATCCAACACATATGTGACAGTATCACAGCACAAGGCAGTCACAGCATGTGGGCCTGGCCGAGTCCAGCTACACCATGACAACAGAGCCGAAGCCCACTGTGTTGGGAGCACCAACACCCAGGGTGGAGATCCACCTATGCCAGGCCAGTGTGGTGGTCTGTGTCCTTACAAATACATCACAGCCATTCCTTCCATGTGGAATAAGCTGAACCTCTGACATTGCCATTTGCCAAGGCCAAAATGTTCTAACAGCAGCAATTTCATATGATTCCATCTAAATGACAAACTCGTCAGTACCCTGTATAATCTGACCTGATTCTCAACGTGCGCTGAAGCTTATCAGCACAGCATTTAGAGTCAGATGGTCTGAGTTCAAGTCCTGGTTTTGCCATTTTCTAGCTCTGCAATGTACTCCCAAGGCCTCAATTTCTTCATCTGCAAAATGGCAAGATGCTAATCACAGTACCTACCTCACAGGACTGGCTTGAGACTCAAGAAAAATAAGGTAAAACCTGTAATAGCATGTTGAAGTACTTAGTGAGTGCTTGGCCATAATAATTAAAATAATCATTGACAACCCTACAGTTATAGAGGCCACTATTTATTGGGGCTAGGAAACTGTGGCACAGAAAACCAGAGTGATATGTATAAGATGAAGGAGTCCCAGAGCCAGCCTGGATTGGACCATGGGTCTTCTGCCTAAAAGCCTTCCCCGAATCCCAAGTTGCAAGAGGGCATCTCATGAGTGGCCACCACACCACCACAGCCTGAAGGCCTTCTCCAATGGTCCAGTCAACAATAATGCCAGTCAAACAGCCCTGGCATATGTGGTAATCACTCAAGTAATGGAAACTCCCACTGCAGCTACTGTTGCTCCATCATCTTCTACCACTGGACTATGAGCTCCTAGAGGATGTAGCTTGTTGCCCTGGCTCTGAGTCTCATTTTGAACCTTAGACAAGCTCTTTCCTTTCTCTGGACCTGAGGTTCTCCATAGGTAAAAAATGGGGTATGGGGGAAGAAGATTAAATCAGATCATCTCCCCTGTCCCTTCCATCTCTCTCATTCCATGTGGAGCAGACCCAACCTTAACCAGTCCCCTCTGGCAAACAAAATAAGGAGGACCCCAGGGAGATCCTCCTTCCCACTCCCATGAAGCTGGGGTAAACGTGTACCCAAGCCCTCCAGCCCACATAAGGGTGCCTGTCCCCCCTTCCCAGCCCCACCCATTCCTTATTCACCAGCTTCCCCTCAGGACCTGGGCAAGGCTATTTTTGGTTTTATCTGACCCTCCCCTTCCCTCCCAAATGAATGTGAAGTTGTTCTTTTCCATTCTCTTATTAAGGGTTTTCTTGGAAAGAAAATATTATTCCAAACCCAGAAATTTTATTTCTAAATTTGTGCAAATGTAAGTTGTAAGACATTAGCTGCATTTCACATTTTGTGCAAATGGCAGAAACAGGCAATTCGCGTGCTCCAGGATGGGGGCTGGCCAACGATTTCGATAAAATAAACCCTTTTTTAATTTAAATGCTAATGCACTGAATTAAAATTTAATAACTGAGGAAATTGAAAAGCCGAGCAGGAATATTGGAAATAAATCCAAGCAGAAACAGCTGAAATTAAAAATTCTAGAGAGTGGGAGGATAGCAGCTAAGCTGTCTTATATGATTACATTTTTTTTCAGAATGAAGCAAAAAAAAAAAAAAAAATCCTATCTCTCGCTGGCTCTAGGGCAGTAAATCCACAGTGCTGTGATTTATTGCTCAATTTTCCTGAGGGAAAAAGGCTTTCTTTCATGCTGAAATATTTCATAAATTTCAAGCCAGCATAAATTCTTAATTTAAAAGTTATGGAGGTCACATTTAGTGCACTGGTACGGTTCCAAAATCTTAAAGAAATAGCAGCGACCAAAAAAAAAAAAAAAAGCAGAAAGGAGGGGTAGAATTTGCTCTTTTCTTTTTTCCCTTTTTTTCATTTTGGTTTTAATTCACACAAGTTGAAATTTCATTATTAAAGATTCCTCCTGGATGGATAGAACCCAAGCACGTGGGGAACCGGTGTGTGTTTGGAAAAAACCTGCTGCAAAAGATGAAGAGATAAAGATTTAATTCAATTATAAAATGGCATTTTTTTTTTAAGCCACTTGAGGAATTTCTGGTAAAAATTTCCTCCCTTCATTGCCCGGGAAGGGGTGAGGGTGGGGGAGGGTGGCCAATGTAATTGCTTCTCTTAGATCTCCAATCTTTTGTGCACACTGATATATTCATTTGTTATACAGCTGTTCAGCGGTGGAAAGAATGCTGGGGCGCCCATAATTCTAAGCAAATCAATCAAAAATTAATGATTTGTCATGCTTGCACAATGGAGGAAAAACAGCTCCTTAGGTCCTGGCTGCCTGATCTCGAAGAATGAAATGCGTTTATTCGATAAGAGCGCCGAGCCTGAAGTGCTGCCACAAATGTGGGGGCCTCATAGTCCCCCCAGCTCTGTGAGGGCAGAGGGGGCTGCCATCTTGGAGGGGTTATTTCCAAGATGGCGCCTCAGCTAGCCAAGCTCAGGATGGACCTGGAGCAGCA